TGTCTGACTATTTGTCTGTCTAACCAGCTGACTCACTGCCTGTCTGTCTATCTATCTGTCTGACTGTTTGTCTGTCTAACCAGCTGACTCACTGCCTGCCTGTCTGTCTATCTATCTGTCTGACTGTTTGTCTGTCTAACCAGCTGACTCACTGCCTGCCTGTCTGTCTGTCTATCTATCTGTCTGACTGTTTGTCTGTCTAACCAGCTGACTCACTGCCTGTCTGTCTATCTATCTGTCTGACTGTTTGTCTGTCTAACCAGCTGACTCACTGCCTGCCTGTCTGTCTGTCTATCTATCTGTCTGACTGTTTGTCTGTCTAACCAGCTGACTCACTGCCTGCCTGTCTGTCTGTCTATCTATCTGTCTGACTGTTTGTCTGTCTAACCAGCTGACTCACTGCCTGTCTGTCTATCTATCTGTCTGACTGTTTGTCTGTCTAACCAGCTGACTCACTGTCTGTCTGTCTATCTATCTGTCTGACTGTTTGTCTGTCTAACCAGCTGACTCACTGCCTGCCTGTCTGTCTATCTATCTGTCTGACTGTTTGTCTGTCTAACCAGCTGACTCACTGCCTGTCTGTCTGTCTGTCTGTCTGACTGTTTGTCTGTCTAACCAGCTGACTCACTGCCTGCCTGTCTGTCTGTCTATCTATCTGTCTGACTGTTTGTCTGTCTAACCAGCTGACTCACTGTCTGTCTGTCTATCTATCTGTCTGACTGTTTGTCTATCTTACCAGCTGACTCACTGCCTGCCTGTCTGTCTGTCTATCTATCTGTCTGACTGTTTGTCTGTCTAACCAGCTGACTCACTGCCTGTCTGTCTATCTATCTGTCTGACTGTTTGTCTGTCTAACCAGCTGACTCACTGCCTGCCTGTCTGTCTGTCTATCTATCTGTCTGACTGTTTGTCTGTCTAACCAGCTGACTCACTGCCTGCCTGCCTGCCTGCCTGTCTTTGTCTGTCTGTCTGTCTGTCTTTGTCTGTCTGTCTGTCTTTGTCTGTCTGTCTAGTTGACTCCTGCAGCAACTGACAGCCGTTGGAGCTCCATCAGATGCGGAGAGACGGGATCCTGGCTGACCCGTTACAAGACAAACGCCACTGTGCCGAACCATACAAAATAACAGAAATCATTACGACAGAAACAATATTTTATTGTGTATGTACAATATGTGTACAATATTCACCTGTACAGTGAGTTCTATAAAAGAACGTTTGTGACAATGCGTAGAGATTTCACGCTCAAGAAAGCGTCAGAATACAAAACTAGGCTCGGTTCAACATTAACAAGGCCAAACACTGCCTTCAACCAAAACAATCCATCAGATATGAAAAGTTATCTCCCCTCCCCTGAGTTGTCTCCCTTACACACGTGCGGTCGTATATATATATAGAACACTAGCTTTTGTATAAGAGTGCTGTTGTGGGGGGCTGTGCAGATAAGTGAATCACAGAATCACAGAATCACAGACACGATATGATGATGAGCTTACAAAATAAATCTGTTCACCACGATTAGGAATGCAGCCTACATGTAAACAGTGCAACTTATGATGTAAACAAAAGCGACCGGGAATCCCGGACGACAAACATGTTGAACTGGGTGAAACTTTTGTAACTTATCAATCCTTGAACAGCTGTGTGTCAATCCTAGTTTTACAAGAAACAAATACACTACCGAGCAAAAGAAAGTATGCACCAAGAATGAAACGAGTCAGAAATGGTTATTCGATGGCGATGAATTTGAGACGGGTCTTTTTGACCATACACATGTAACGTTCTATAACGTTTATGATTTTGGGGTCAAATCCACTTTTCAAGAGTACACTTTCTTTTGCTCAGCAGTTTTAAAACCTTTTTTGGGCCACGGGGTGCTTGAATTTTTAGGGTTCCTGGGACTTTGTACCATTTTCATTGAGAAATCTGGTAACGTCCTAACATTAAGATCGCTTGTTGTTGTTTAAAAGGCAATAAGGTGTCGGGTTATAACAAGTAGAAAATACCTGTTCTGTTTGAATATTTAGTTATGGTTATAAACATTTATCAGTTTTCCGAAATTCCATTCCACATCGAAAATCTGGATATGTAAATAATGGTCAGATTTTTTTGTCATTTTAATGGCCGTTCTAAAAACTATCATTTTTGTTTGATATTCAAGGCCAAAATACCGTAACTCCAGACCCCGCAGTGCCGTAACTTCGGACGGTTTGTTTGCAGTATTTTTACAGATAGGTAATAAGGATATTTGTTTATCCGACTCGGACCGGTACCTTACCAAATTTCGGGGGTTTGCTGTGTATAGTATTGAAGTCTTCATCTTCATCTATGATGCAATGGGAGTGTTATATTACAAAGTGCATTCATAAACATTATAATGTACGAAACCAGATTAATCTGATTCTCTAACCTCCTTAATGCGGACACCCGGCATCATTCAGACAATTTTGACTGCTGTTTACCCTTTTACGCCCAAAGGAATCTGTTTCGACAGATAATCGAAACTGATTATTCTCTGCCGTTGACGATTTATATTTGTAAGAAACAGTGCGGCTGTTGCTTTGAAGACAAAACTAAAATCCAAATTAAAGAGGTTCAACTATACGTTGAAACTGCAAAAACTGGACTCTGACTAAACCGGATTTCTGTCATTACCGACTACATTGTACCTCGAACGGGGAAAGATTTTATATTAATCGAACATACATACATCTACAATAAACCTGCGTTGGTTTTCTCCAACAAAGCCATATTACACAAAGCCATAATTTGTTTTTGTTTCAGACAACGATGATGATATAATGTACGATATATTTACGATATGCAAGTTATGAAAACAATAAACATCTTTATTTATCCCTTTTTTTATCCCTTTATTTATCATGATAAACGCTATCAAGTAAACAATACGCTAAACAAACAGGTTCTCGTTTAGTAGGGCAACTGTGTGTGAAAGTGGGTGTATGTTTAACATAAATACAGCTCTAATATACCTACTGGGGAAGTTTTATCATCGACTTTCCGGAATGATACGAGTAGTCACGAACGGCTTTCGTGGAGTTTCGGCCCTGAATCTTATCTTCCTCAATCAAGATGACCAGACATTAATGCCACATTCCCGTTAAAATCAGATCTGAGTTCTCGCTATCGCTAACCATAGATCTGAGGACATCCCATTACGGGTCACGTCAGAACGACCTTTCATCCGACCAATCAAAGCGTCGCTTACCAGATCATGAAAGTGACAGTCGGAATGTTTTTTTCTAATCATGCAACCTCGAAAACGTTAACACGGGGTATTCCGAACGACTGCTTACGTCAAAATTATCGTCCATCTCTCGCTTCCCTGGGATAAACATTTGAACGGAGGAGGCTTTGCACAGTACATGGGAAGCACTGCCATATGATTTCAACAATATATCACACATTCCGGAATGTTCTTTTGTTTAGTTTTCAAACTTTTAATCGAGGACTGTGTCAACATATTATTCAAACGTAGTCTGAAATGGAAGTCGCCAGGTTGAAAGGGGTACCGTAAAGCTCGAGAAAGTGCTTTCTAATTGGCTGATGTCGACTTTTTGTCATTTCAGCGGTTGGTCAAAGATCGCGAAAGGTCTTTCTGACGTGACCCGTAATGGGATGTCCTGAGATCTTTGTTTTACGGCAGCGAGAATTTAGATCTGATTTTAATGAGATTGTTAATGTCACGGCTTAATGCCTTCATTATCAATAATCCATTAGCATGGGGTTTTCCTTTTACTGGATTATCGGCGCTTGTGGTCCACAGGATATGGATCACAGTAATGTATAATCACTGTAGCTTACGGCGTGGTATAAACCGGTTACCGTCATATAAAAATACTATACGTCATAAAAATAGATGAATCTAAATCAAAATCTCCAGAGATTTCATGCTGAAGTTCGACTAACAGTATTGATTGTAATAATGACACATTATTACACAACAAAATGCAATTAGGGCTGTTCTATCATACACTGGCCTGTGTCAAATCTTGCTTGCCATTTAAACTATCCATTTAGGGAAAATTTAACTGCATCTGGACGACAATTGAGATTTAAGTGTAGAACGCAAGTGGCATGAAAACGAAAATAATGCGGTTTGCCCTACAACAAAATACACCTTCCAAGCTCGCGCCTAATTGATTCAATTAAAGGGGGACTCTTTCCACAGTTCCACGGTTTGGCGTCCAAGGTTAGGTCAAGACGTCATAATTTGTGTCTTGTGTGAACTTGAAATATTGAGTTTTAGCTGCTTGGCTGATTACTGCCGGGCAAATACAAGTGAGTTGGATCTACCTCCGCTCCCTTTAAACGGTATATCAGGGCGTGTCAGCTTAATGTGGGAGGAAAGCCCGAAGTGATGCAGGTCTCAGACGTTTACCACCTCGGTGAAACCCACGAGCAGGGTATGGTGCTGACAAACCTAGAAACATAATTGGGGCGAATCAGCATTCGAACCCACGATCATAGGTTTCTGGCGTGCTCAAGGGACGCAACTCTGTACAGCGATTTGCCGTACCTGAGGGAACTGGGACACCGGTGCTCCCGGAAAAGAACGTATGCACCCGTGTTTGATGGGGCTCAAAATTAAACAAGGGTGATATATTTGATGCGAGTATCGCAGTTTTTTCCCCCCTTAATTACGCGACTGTTTCAGCCTCGTAACGTTTTCATAATTTCAATTTTGGTGAAATCAAATTTTCAATTTTTTACTTTATTTTGCCCGGCAGTTTATTTAGACTATATCTTTTCTCTGTTTTTTTTAATATAAGTATGTGTCGAGATGTGATCTATCAACATCTCTGTCTCTCATCCTGAAAGATCTATAAATGTATCTTTCTCGACCTTTGAAGATCCGGGTTGGAATAGGTCTTCAGCAACCCATCCTAATCGTAAGAGGCGACTAACGGGATCGGGTTGTCAGGCTCGCTGACTTGGTTGATGCATGTCATCGTATCCCAGTTGCCAACATCGATGCTCATTGATGACAATCAGTGGATTGTCTGGTCCAGACTCGATTATTTACAGACCGCCGTTATATAGCTGGAATATTGCTGACCACGGCGGTAAACAACAAACAAGCAAACAAACAAACAAACTCTCTCACTATTGTATACTTCCTTTTGCCGGGCATAATAGTTGATTTGGGGATTGCCAGCCTAGAATTGGCAATGGCTTGGACATAAAAAATGGTCAATATTCTATTCCGTCATCGTCTTCCCAAAATCATATCTTAAGATTTCACGAAACAGCTTTTAACTTCACAATTTGGTTAAGGACTGGCGGTTAAATGTCTAAAAGGGGGACCTGGAATTATAAAAAAAAAATTCTTTTGGTAACTGTTTGAGGTCAACATTAAAGGCAAAATATCTTCAGGAACAAATATTTAAAACAAAAACAAGCCAAATACCCAGCTTGAGGTATACCAAATGGTCGGGATATATATATATATATATATATATATCGCCGGGTCCAGCATTAATGATATGTGGTACGTCGGTGTGGACGTGGAATGAGTTACAACGTCGTTACATGCACTTGCGAACTGGTACCAGTGTTAAGTTTGGCTTTAAAATGGGGCTCTTTACAGCACGCGACCCGACCATAAATGCTTAATATTTATTTATACAGTCGACCATCTTCCATCGGAATTGAGCTTGTTCATTTCACTCCCGCCGTCGCCTTTGTTTCGAAACATCTCACTTCGAGGTGACCTGAGTCAATTGAATTTAAAGATGCCTGATTAGTTTTTTTCGTTTTACGTTCGTTTGAGATTTGTATGATTCGGTGTGTCAAGTGTTAAAGAAAACATGAATGGGGGTCATAAAAAAATAAAACAAATGTGGATAGTGGATTTTAGAAATGAGTATGGTTTTTCGCCTCTGTCAGCAATGTTCCAGCAATATCACGGCGGGGGACACCAGAAATGGGTTTCACACACTGTACCCATGTCGGGAATCGAACCCGGGTCTTCGGCGTGACGAGCAAACGCTTTAACCAATAGGCTACCCGACCGCCCCGGATTTTAAAAAAGACGGAAAAAATATTCAGAAATTATTACAGACTTGAATACATAATTATCTCTGGTTGTCTCGAAGTTCGAAGTGCTAGTTCGACCGTGCATCAAACCTCCCCTGCAAACCAGTTCGCAAATACATCCTTGCTGATTCTAAGTCCCGCTGATACGTCCTTGACGGCAGAGCAAGGTGACAAGACGTCACGTGACACGACGTAGAGGCACGTTCAGGTGAGCTCGACTGACTAGAGATGAGGACGTCTGACGGGTTGTTTTAGGTGCGGGTTTTGCTAACTCTTCTGCAACAAACTAACATGGTTTTAGAGAAAGTGTTACATTGTGGATAACGGCGCAAGTGATACATTGTGTCAAAGGTGAGTGAGTGTGTTGGGTTGAACGCCGCTTTTAACAGTATTCTAGTTATATCACGGCGAGTCAGCTTAGTGTGGGAGAAAAGCCCGAAATGGTGCAGGTCTCAGACGTTTTCCACTTTGGTGAAACCCACGAGCACGGGTATGGTGCTGACAAACCTAGAAACATAATCGGGGCGAACCGGGATTCGAACCCACAATCATAGGTTTCTGGCGTGCCCAAGGGAGGCAACAGCGAATCGCGGCACCTCAGACGACTGGGCCACCCGTGCCCCCTGTGGATAGAGAGGTAGATGTGGATGTGGATATAGATGTGGATATGGATGTGGATGTGGATATGGATGTGGATGTGGATGTGGATGTGGATGTGAATATGGATATGGATGTTGATGTGGATATAGAAGTGGATGTTGAATCCGGATGTAGATATAGATGTAGATGTGGATATGGATGTGGATATGGATATTGAAGTGGATGTGGATGTGGATATTGACGTGGATGTGGCTATAGATGTAGATGTGGATAAAGATGTGGATATAGATGTGGATGTGGATGTGGATATAGATGTGGATGTGGATATAGATATAGATGTGGATGTGGATATAGATGTGGATGTGGATATAGATGTAGATGTGGATATGGATATAGATGTGGATATAGATGCTGATGTGGATGTGGATGTGGATATAGATGTGGATGTGGATATAGATGTGGATATGGATGTGGATATGGATATTGAAGTGGATGTGGATGTGGATATTGACGTGGATGTGGCTATAGATGTAGATGTGGATAAAGATGTGGATATAGATATAGATGTGGATGTGGATAAATATGCTGATGTGGATGTGGATATAGATGTGGATGTGGATATAGATGTAGATGTGGATGTGGATATATATGCTGATGTGGATGTGGATATATATGTGGATATAGATGTGGATATAGATAAAGATATAGATGTGGATGTGGATATAGATGCTGATGTTGATGTGGATATAGATGTGGATATTGAAGTGGATGTGGATGTGGATGTGGATGTGAATGTGAATATAGATGTGGATGTGGATATAGATGTGGATGTGGATATATAGATGTGGATGTGGATGTTGATATAGATGTTGATGTGGATATATATATGTGGATGTGGATATGGATGTGGAGGTGGATATAGATGTGAATGTGGATATGGATGTTGATATAGATGTGAATGTGGATATGGATGTGGAGGTGGATATATAGATGTGGATGTTGATGTGGATATAGATGTGGAGGTGGATATATAGATGTGGATGTGGATGTGGATATAGATGTGAATGTGGAAATATATGTGGATGTGGAAGTGGATATGGATGTGGAGGTGGATATAGATGTGAATGTGGATATGGATGTGGATGTGGATATAGATGTGGATGTGGATATAGATGTGGATGTGGATATAGATGTGGATGTGGAAATATATGTGGATGTGGATATGGATGTGGAGGTGGATATGGATGTGAATGTGGATGTGGATATAGATGTGAATGTGGATGTGGATATAGATGTGAATGTGGATATGGATGTGGAGGTGGATATAGATGTGAATGTGGATATAGATGTAGATGTGGATATAGATGTGGATGTGGATATAGATGTGGAGGTGGATATAGGTGTGAATGTGGATATAGATGTGGATGTGGATATATATGTGGATGTGGATATAGATGTAGATGTGGATATAGATGTGGATGTGGATATAGATGTGGAGGTGGATATAGATGTGAATGTGGATGTGGAAGTGGATATGGATGTGGAGGTGGATATAGATGTGGATGTGGATATGGATGTGGAGGTGGATATAGATGTGAATGTGGATATAGATGTAGATGTGGATATAGATGTGGATGTGGATATAGATGTGGAGGTGGATATAGGTGTGAATGTGGATATAGATGTGGATGTGGATATATATGTGGATGTGGATATAGATGCTGATGTGGATGTGGATGTGGATATAGATATAGATGTGGAGGTGGATATATAGATGTGGATGTCGATATAGATGTGAATGTGGATATAGATCCGGATGTTGATATATACGTAGATGTGGATGTGGATATAGATGTGGATGTGGATATATGGATGTGGATGTGGATGTGGACGTGGAAGTGGATGTGGATATAGATGTGGATGTGAATATATAGATGTGAATGTAGATGTGGATATAGATGTGGATATAGATGCTGATGTGGATGTGGATGTGAATGTGAATGTGGATATAGATGTGAATGTGGATATAGATGTGGATGTGGATATAGATGTGGATGTGGATATATGGATGTGGATGTGGATGTGGATATAGATGTGGATGTGGATATAGATCCGGATGTTGATATATACGTAGATGTGGAAGTGGATGTGGATATAGATGTGGATGTGAATATATAGATGTGAATGTAGATGTGGATATAGATGTGGATATAGATGCTGATGTGGATGTGGATGTGAATGTGAATGTGGATATAGATGTGGATGTGGATATAGATGTGGATGTGGATATAGATCCGGATGTTGATATATACGTAGATGTGGATGTGGATATAGATGTGGATGTGGATATATGGATGTGCATGTAGATGTGGATATAGATGTGGATATAGATGCTGATGTGGATGTGGATGTGAATGTGGATATAGATCCGGATGTGGATGTGGATATAGATGTGGATGTGGATGTGGATGCGGACGTAGATGTGGATGTGGATGTGGATATAGATATGTGTGGTATGTGCTATGGTGAGGCTGTTGTGTTGGTATGCGTGTGCAGGAAGGTTGGATATGGATACACATTGGAAGAAGCACCGACCTCCTTCTGAGCATCCTCAGCAGACTTCATCGCCTCGTATCTGTCCTTAGCGTTCTTCAGGGGCATCACCATGACGTCATTGATGGCGATGAACAACTGCAAGGCGGGACACAACATTGTGAAACAAAGACTGTCATGTCTACGGACAGTAGGAACCTGCATGGAACTTGCAAGCGTACACCAGCCACTATACTGACAAAGTTTTCAATATGTATGGGAGGTCTCATAAATGCATCGCTTAGAAAATTAATTCAGTTATATCTGGGCGCGTCAGATTGATGTGGAAAGCAAGCCTGAAGTGATGCATTTCTTGGTGCTGACAAACATAGAAACACAATCAGGGCGAATCTCGAATTCGAACCAAGGATCTTATGTTCGCAAGGAAGACAACTCAGCCCAGCGAATTACGTCCCCTTAGGCGACAGCGCCACCTCTGCACTCGGTACGGTGATAGAGCACCTTTGGTTGAACACAAATGAAACCATAGGCAAAGTAGACACAATTGGCTATTTCATCCCATCCGCCTACTATGAAGTCATCAAGCAATAATCACTTATCCTGTCCAATTGGCTTCATGTCCCTATTGGCTTCCACCTATGTGTTCTCTGTCCATCGTGTTGTGACAGTATTATCTTCATGTTAAACTGTGGCATGGTATCTCAGTGGACCTGCACTATACGGGGATAGAATAAGGACTGGTCGGCTTTGAGTCAGTATACTGTGTCTGAGTGGGTCTCCATGTTAAACTGTGACATGGTATCTCAATGAACCTGCACTATACGGGGATAGAACAAGGACTGGTCGCCTCGGAGTCAGTATACTGTGTCTGAGTTGGGTCTCCATGTTAAATTGTGACATGGTATCTCAATGAACCTGCACTATACGGGGATAGAATAAGGACTGGTCGGCTTGGAGTCAGTATACTGTGTCTGAGTGGGTCTCCATGTTAAACTGTGACATGGTATCTCAATGAACCTGCACTATACGGGGATAGAACAAGGACTGGTCGCCTCGGAGTCAGTATATTGTGTCTGAGTGGGTCTCCATGTTAAACTGTGACATGGTATCTCAATGAACCTGCACTATACGGGGATAGAACAAGGACTGGTCGGCTTGGAGTCAGTATACTGTGTCTGAGTGGGTCTCCATGTTAAACTGTGACATGGTATCTCAATGAACCTGCACTATACGGGGATAGAACAAGGACTGGTCGCCTCGGAGTCAGTATATTGTGTCTGAGTGGGGTATCCATCCATACCTGTAGCATGGTATGTCAGTGGGCTAGCACTATAAAATCGGGCTAGTACACGCACGCACGCACGCACGCACACACACATACGTTGCTAAATAAGCGCAATGATTGAAAACGCGACGTTACATCCCATTTCAGCACACCTAACCTAATTGCCTTGGGAGGAAATGGAGTCGTTACCTTGGAAACCGTTTCAAACATTGGAATCAGGACGAACTTGATGAAGCCGATCTGTGCAGTTGGTTTGGTGACCTTATCCCGGTCCATGAAAGGCGCCACCGGAAGTCCCTCCATCTTCTCTCGGTCAGACTGTAGAGAAACATGCACAACTGTATAGAGGAAAGTGAATCAGTGAGCCTACAGGATTTAACACCAAAGGATTTTGAATTTATTTACACTTCTCACGAAATAAGTTGACCCAACGTTTCAAACTATTGGTTGGTTCTGGTTTTGATTCATATATATATACTGATTACGGTTTTGATATATATGTGCATATTGTTACACTTCGGACCGCCTCCGTGGTCTAGTGGTAGAGCCGCCGCCCTAGGAGCGGAAGGTCCGGGGTTCGATCCCCGGCCGCGTCATACCAAAAGACGTTAAAATATAGTACTTGTTGTTACCCTGTCTGGCGCTCGGCATTAAGGGGCTAAAACAAGGACTGCTCGGCTCGGAGTCAGTATACTGTGTCTGAATGGGGTATTCATGTTAAACTGCGGCATGGTATCTCAGTGGACTAGCACTATAAATCGGCATCAGTCCGGACTAGTACAAGCAGTGACACACACACACACACAGACACACAGACACACACAGACACACAGACACACACACACACATACACACACACACACACACACACACACACACAAACAAACACACACAGAGACACACACAGACACAGACACACACACACAGACAAACACACACACACACAGAGACAGAAACACACACACACACACACACAGACACACACACAGACACACACACACACACACACAAACACACACACACAAACACAGACAGAAACACACACACACACACAGACACAGACACACACAGACACAGACACACACAGACACACACACACACACACACAGACACACACACACACACACACACACACACACAAACAAACACACACAGACACAGACACACACACACACACACAAACACACACACAAACACACAGACACACACAGACAGAAACACACATACACACACACACAGACACACACACACACACACACACACACACACACACACAAACACACACACACAAACACACACACACACACAGAGACAGAAACACACACACACACAGAGACACACACACACACACACACACACACACACACACACACACACACACACACACACACACACAATGGGGAATGGGACCCTGGCCTCTGGCGTGACAAGAGAACGCTTGGACCACAAGGCTCCCTACCCCACCGCCCTTCATATTGTATTCTAAAATGTGTAACTTCATCTGATTCGAATGGAATCATGACATATAATGTTTTAACTTGCAAATGTCGACTGTGAAGTTATCTTTCAACTTGCTAAAAAATACATGCAACAATCGTCATTTGGATGGATTAAACCCTGAAAGTCTTTTCAAACAGAATCAATGTGACATGTGCTTTTTCTCACCCACAGAACCGACTTGGTTGAAGGTCAATAGTTACACTTTTTAACGCTTGCTCGTTAAGAGAATGTAACACGCTAATCAATGGCCCTGACTTAAACCTCGGTCTTGATTCCGTCAAATTATGCACTGTCCATCAAGCTTGGCTGCAGCGAAATAAACGCTTATAAATTCAACGACATTATCAGACAGAATGAGTCGGGTTTTACGCCGCTTTTAGAAATACTCCAGCAACATCACGGCGGGGGGCACCAGAATTGGGCTTCACACATTGTACCCATGTTGAGAATCGATTGCGGGTTTTCGGCGTGAGGAGCCAGCACTTTAACCACTAGGCTACCCTAGGCTATCTGGCAATGCAGAATGATGATGATGATGATGATGATGTAGGGAATGATGATGATGCTGATGATGATGACGACGACGACGACGACGATGATAATGATGAAGATGATGATGATGATGATGATGATGATGATGATGATGGCTATGATGAAGGTGTTGATGCCGATAATGATGATGTTGATAATCATGGCAGTGTTGTTGATGACGATGAAAGTGATGGCAATGGTGATGTTGTTGATGGCGATGAATCGAATCGGGGCCTTCCTCGTGACGAGCAAACGCTTTAACCACTAGACTACCCCAACGCCCCTTATCAGACAGATCAGGCTGCAGATGCTGGTATATTTCGAAGATGTTTTACATTTTCTATTTACATGCAAAAACTATGCAAAAGTAAGAATAATGATTATGATAATGATTTCACACCCATGGATATAACCTGAAAACGTTTTTTTTTTTACGACAGCTCGGCATTTAGTGACGCAATAAACATAAAAATGATCAAATCAACCTACGGTTTTGTCATTTGTCAATATTCGAAGAGTTATTACAATAATCTAAATATATCTTCGATAAAATATTGAAATTGAAATACAACATTTCTTTAACTCGGATACCACTAGCTCTAGCTTACCGTTACAAATTTAAATTGACATTTAAATTTTAACATGAACATGTTAATGTGAAGACACTAACTAAAACCTATTTTTCCTGGGGCGGTATTTATGATTTATACTTGACATGGGTAACTTTTTGCAACGTTAATAATATCAGTAACCAAATAAATGCAAGGCAAAAGATAGTATACCCCTAACACATTGGATTTGACCCAGAAATTACAAACGTTATTCGTAACTAGGTTGAAAGCATTCGCCGAAACACGGCAAACTTGAGGTCCAAAACAAAACTTTGATACCCGTATCAGTGAGTGAGTTAAAATTAAACGTCGCTTCGGCATTATTTCAGCCCGTATCAAGTACGTTACCACCGGAGGCGGAGGGGTAGTCTAGTGGTTAAAAGCGTTCGTTCGTTGAAGACCCGGGTTCGATTCCCAACATGGTTACAATGTGTAAAGCCCATTTCTGGTGTCCCCCGCCGTGATATTGCTGGAATATTGCTAAAAGCGGCGTAAAACCGTACTCACTCACTATATCAACATCGAATAACCTTGTCCTATATGGTTATTTTTTTCATGTGCCATCTATTTCTTGTTTGAATCGCTTGTCCGTTTTGGACCGATACAACCTCTGGGATAAGTAGCAGGTCGCTCTGGTTACCTCGTCCGTATACGCTGACGAGACCATCCTCAATTACAAGAGTGGGCGACAGCCGGAACCTAGTCAATAATTAATCAGCCGCATAATGAATCTGCCGACCCGCACTGAGTGCATGTATTGAGGTGATCGTTACCACCGGTTGCGACCTCAACGACAACGACGTTGTTTAATGGCCTACAATCCCCAGTAATAAGCTGGACAATAGCCCGTTCCGTTTAAGAGCTCCGATAGCAGTTTTCCATTTACCCCATCAATTGTCAGTACAATCACGCGTTCAAATAAATCGGGAAAAAGAAAAACCTCAAAAATATCTCGCGTCAAATTTTCTTTGCTGTGAGAGGATGATGAAATGTTGTGGGGGTGAGGTGAAATGGGGTTTAACGTCGCGTCCAAGATTATTGCACTTATATAAAAACGTGCACGTACGTGTGTGTGTTTGTGTGGCTGCTTGTACTAGTCCGGACTGATGCCGATTTATAGTGCTAGCTCACCGAGATACCATGCCGCACTTTAACATGAACACCCCACTCTGACACAGTATACTGACTCCGAGCCGGCCAGTCCTTGTTTTAGCCCCTAATGCCGAGCGCCAGACAGGGTAACAACAAGTACCATCTTTTAACGTCTTTTGGTATGACGCGGCCGGGGGTCCGCTCTACCTTTGCGTTTCTTTTTTTGAAGAGTGTATTTTATTAAACTGCATTTCATTGTCAACTTGCGGGCCCTTTGTCTTGGTTCTTGGTAGAGGTACGTTTGATATCAATTTAAATGTTTTTCTTTACTGATAAGCAGTAGAGTCTCGGCACTTCTACCCAGAACACATAATGCCATCATTTCCATCATTTCTAGCTTCCAAAAAATCGGTAAATTCACTGACGTGTTTTGTCTATTTGATTGACTGGTTTGTTTACAAGCCGCCGTCATAAGAGAGGATTAGATTTTTGTAGCTTCAGGCAACAAATAGACCCTACTATAATAAGCAAGTTGAGTGGCGGCGCGACCGGAGGGCAGGACATGCTTACCCTTTTCGCGAAAATCTGTGTCATCACTGATTATTAGTGATCGATTTATTTAATTTTCACCAATATTTTGCTGTTTATGTTTTCTGTTTGCCCACTTGACGACCAGTATTGACAACCAGTATTGACAACCAGTATTGACAACCTAGCTGAGAGTTGCAACCTACAGGCTAATGCCAGAAATAATGGAAACACAACGATGAACATTGTCAGAAGAACGGGTCTTCGTTAAGTAATTAATGTTCCATATCTAAAGCGGAAGAGAATTATTGATATTTGCCTGGTGATTAAAAGATGAAAGCAAGCTTAATGTACTTGGATATAAGGTTTGCTATCTACAGAGACGTATTCCCCATTGACCGTGTAAAGGGTATTCTGGTTGGTACTGGTATTCTGGCAACACTGTCTGGTTAGTTGTAACAACACTGCCATAATTATCAACATCATCATTATCGGCATCAACACCTTCATCATTGCCATCAACATCATCATCATCGCCATCATCACCATCATCATCATTGCCATCAACAACACTGCCATAATTATCAACATCATCATCATCATTGCCATCACTTTCATCGTCATCAACAACACTGCCATAAGTATCAACATCATCATTATCGGCATCAACACCTTCATCATAGCCATCCTCCTCCTTCTCCTCCTCCTCCTCATCATCACCATCATCATTTTGTATTGCCAGATAGCCTAGGGTAGCCTAGTGGTTAAAGCGTTGGTTCCTCACGCCGAAGACCCGGGATCGATTCCCGACATGGGTACAATGTGTGAAGCCCATTTCTGGTGTCCCCCGCCGTGATATTGCTGGAATATTGCTAAAAGCGGCGTAAAACCTCACTCACTCACTCTGGTGTCCCAAGCCGCTTGAATGTTGGAAAAAGCGGCGTAAAACCATACTGACTCACTCATTCTGCATTGCCTACCTGGTTGAAATACTCCTCCAGAAGGCAGTCCACCCAGGGCTCCGACACCTCCATAGGCCGGACCTCATTGGATATATCACAGCACTTAATGAGCACCATCTTTAGCTACAATGGAAACAGAAAAAACAATAAATAAACCATCTTTAGCTACAATGGAAACAGAAAAAAAACAATGAATAAACGACAATGTGTGGGGTGAAGCTGTGTCAGACTACGTCAGGCTCTGTCAGGAAGTTTTAGGGCGTATCAAACCCTATAGGCCGGATGTGTGTTGCTGGGGCAGAGATTGGTGGCACCCGTCAAAAACACATGCAAAGGCAAGTCAATTGTTCACCTAAGAAAACATGGGAAAATATGGTACAAGTTAAAATAGGAAATTGCATCGGACATAATCTTTGTCACTGATGTGTTAAATTTGAAATGAAGACACCACAAACTGGTACTGGTGGAAACTTGGAGTCATCACTCTCATGACAGGTCACACGATTAGATAAACATGTTAATCGACAAAGAAGGACAAGACAAGTCAACGCACTCACTTCAAGAGCTACCTCAGACAGGAACTTAATTGGTTGCTTTGGTTGCTTTGTTGTTTAACGCCGCACTCGGCAATATTCCAGCTATATGACGGTGGTCTGTAAATAATCGAGTCTGGACCAGACAATCCAGTGATTAATATCATGAGCATCGATCCACGCAATTGGGATCGATGAAATGCATCAACCAAGTCAGCGAGCCTGACAACCCGATCCCGTTAGTCGCCTTTTACGACAAGCATAGTCAACTTTTACGGCAAGCATGGGTTGCTGAAGACCCAGGAATCTTCACGGGTCACAGGAACTTAAACGCTGATATATACCCTCCGCACATGACACATCTAACAGCATCTGTTATATTCCGCATTTATTTCATCTGATTTGACAATATCTGATTGTACAAGATCTGATTGTGCAATATCTGATTGTGCAATATCTGATTGTGCATTATCTGATTGTACAATATCTGATTGTGCAATATCTGATTGTGCAATATCTGATTGTACAGTATCTGATTGTACAGTATCTGATTGTACAATATCTGATTGTGCAATATCTGATTGTGCAATATCTGATTGTGCATTATCTGATTGTACAATATCTGATTGTACAATATCTGATTGTGCAATATCTGATTGTGCAATATCTGATTGTGCAATATCTGATTGTACAATATCTGATTGTGCAATATCTGATTTTGCAATATCTGATTGTACAATATCTGATTGTGCATTATCTGATTGTACAATATCTGATTGTGCAATATCTGATTGTACAATATCTGATTGTGCAATATCTGATTGTGCAATATCTGATTGTACAATATCTGATTGTGCAATATCTGATTGTACAATATCTGATTGTGCATTATCTGATTGTACAATATCTGATTGTGCAATATCTGATTGTACAGTATCTGATTGTGCAATATCTGATTGTGCAATATCTGATTGTACAATATCTGATTGTGCATTATCTGATTGTACAATATCTGATTGTGCAATATCTGATTGTACAATATCTGATTGCAAACATATGACAACACGATGGTAGTAACGAGGGGGTTTAAAACCCCTTGAGTCGGGTCGATTGAATTTCACGTGTCGATAATTGTATAAACCGTCACTATGGTAACAAGACAAATATCCATGCTTCCTTGTTAATAATACTTAATTCCGGGAACAATGGTATATACGCGGCGCCAGAAGGTAAAGTCTTTTCAACACACCGTAGCGTTCGATATGGGCTGCCTATCTCTTGATTAACTTCCGATAGTACCGTTATGTTTGTTTGGCGGTAAACAGCCCTTCTAACCCACAGTAATGAGTGAGTGTGAGTGAGTGAGTGAGTTGAGGTTAACGCCGCTTTTAACAGTATTCCAGTTATATCGCGGCGTGTCAGCTTAATGTGGGAGGAAAGCCCGAAGTGATGCAGGTTTCAGACGTTAACCACTTCGGTGAAACCCACGAGCACGGGTATGGTGCTGACAAACCTAGAAACATAATCGGGGCGAACCGGGATTCGAACCCACAATCAAAGGTTTCTGGCGTGCCCAAGGGACGCAACTCTGCACAGTGAATCGCGTCGCGTTAGACGACTGGGCCACCCGTGCCCCCTCATTAATGAGTGAACGGGTGTATCTCGGCTAACAGTATGCCAGTGCTATCACAACCTATGCGCTTCATGATGGAGAAAAGTGATGCGGGTCTCAGACGTTTACAGCTAACAAATACTACACGGGGACGGTGCTGACAAACCTAGAAATATAATCAGGTCGAATCTTGCATAGATTCCTGGTGCGCCAAAGGGACGCAACTCATCTTAGACGACAGAGCGACCCCTATCCCAAAGGCTAGCTTGAAACAAGAGAAGTAATAAGTTATAGAACGGTATTTTTCTTGTTTCATATTGACAAGTTGGCTATAATTTTACAAGTGGCCAAAACTCAAAGAACAAATCCACTATTGTGTTTAGAGCCTAGTGGGTAAAGCGTTCGCTCGTCAAGCCGAAGACCCAGGTTCAATTCCCTACATGGGTACAATGTGTGAAGACATTTCCGTTGTGGTATTGCTGGAATATTGCTTAAAGCGGTATAAAACCATACACACTCATATATTCTTATTTACCACTTTTCTTCAAAACATAGGATAAACGGAAAAGAACGAAAACTGGTTAAATTAAGGTTTTCAAAAAAACATAAAATCACCTGAAAACACAAGTTACGCTGATATTCGTTGCTATATGGTTACTTTGTGGGAGTGTGAATGGTAAAGGCAAGAAAAACGGTTGGATCGTTACACTGGACAGTACAAAAATGAATGTCGAAACCATGCGAAGTGCCGTATCAAATCGGCACAGACTCCGCTTTTCAAGGAGAGGCTATCTGAACGACCACTGCATCGTTTTATGTGCACTGTGTTGAGAAGATCAGCAACCATGCAGAGTCATTCGCTTGGATGAAGTCGGCTGGCCTGAAAAGTGAAACAGAAGGCTTTCTGTTTGCTGCTCAGGACCAGTCACTTCCAACTCGAAACCGCCAGTGTGTGATTTTTCATGATGGTGTGACATGATGGTGTGGCTCGATCAGTAGAGGGCGTCATGGAAAATGATACATACATTTTGTTTTTTAATAGGCCCGTTTACAGCCTAAGACGTATCCAGGCCAACAAACCTGATCTTGTCCTTTTTGAAAAAATCCAGTCAAAAATCATTTATATTATTGAATGTTCTGTCCTTTTTTACACGAACGTGATTGACAAGATTCAGGGAAAACATGGCAAATATGCGCACCTCGCTTTCGAAATTTCACGCTTGCATCCCAAGTACCAAGTTGTCCGACTCCCGATTGTTCTCGGTGCCTTAGGTTTGGTACTTCCCAATCTGTTAACTGACATTGGGAGAGTACCCGGATGTGTTGCCAGGAATACAACCCTTCTGAAAATCTGGGTAATGCAGATGGCTGCAGTGTTGGGGAGTCTTCACATTCTCCGAACAACTCCCATTCGCTGTCTGGCCTGCGTGTAGAGGGGGCAAGGGCCCTGAGCTGATGATGAGCCTAACCAGCCTGGCTGTGCCAGGATCACCAAACCCTCTTTGCTGCAATTATTTCTTTTATTCGTTTTAATAATGATAATAACATGACAAAATGATGTAATGAGTTAACGTGCCCCTAGGTCGTTACAGAGGTATTAATCTATCACTGTAATCTTTGTTCGCAGCGCAACCAGAATGAGTTACGGACCTAATCATTATCTTAATGGCCATCCTGTTTATCCAGTTCAGTAAATATTGATTGCTACAATTATCGTTTAATGCTGAGATAAAAAGGATACCTAATCTAACGTTATTATCTTTTTCTTCATTGACAGTTCGACATTTGACGGTATTTTGAATAAAATTAGAATTAAAAATAAGAGATCGATGAGTCATGTAGAGTTTGTGATATTGCTATGCATCAAGAGATATTTAGTATTTGGGTCCGTGTAATGCTAAAGCAAACCCATGTCAGTGAGGGGTGGTCGGGTAGCCTAGTGGTTAAAGCGTTCGCTCGTCACGCCGAAGACCCGGGTTCGATTCCCGACATGGGTACATTGTGTGAAGCCCATTTCTGGTGTGCCCCGCCGTAATATTGCTGGAATATTGCTAAAAGCGGCGTAAAACCATACTCACTCACTCCTGTCAGTGATGCCACGAGTGAGTGAGTATTGCTTTACGCCGCTTTTAGCAATATTCCAGAACAATCACGGCGGGATTCGAACCAAATCATAGGTTCCCGGCGTGCCAAAGGGACGCAACTCTGCATTCTGAACTCCGCGCCTTAGATGCCCACTGTTAGTACTTGATGTCGGTTGAATATTCAGAACTAATATGAGTATGAGTAAGTGAGTTTGATTTCACGCCGCTTTTAGCAATATTCCAGCAATATCACGGCGGGGGACACCAGAAATAGGCTTCACACATTGTACCCATGTCGGGAATCGAACCCGGGTCTTCGGTGTGACGAACGAGCGCTTTAACCACTAGGCTACCCGACCGCCCCAGAGAACTAATATGTATTCCACTATTATGCCTCACAACCAGAAATAAAATGAAGAGAGTGCTATCACTATCCCCTGCCACGGTATGTTTATAGAGTAGTGGATAGTTAATGCTAACTATAAAAAGTACTATAAACACTAGACCCGTGAAGATTCCGGGGTAGAATAGGTCTTCAGCAACCCATGCTCGCCGTAAAAGGTGACTATGCTTGTCGTAAAAAGCGACTAACGGGATCGGGTGGTCAGGCTCGCTGACTTGGTTGATGCATGTCATCGATCCCAATTGCGTGGATCGATGCTCACGATGTTAATCACTGGATTGTCTGGTCCAGACTCGATTATTTACAGACCGTCGTCATATAGCTGGAATATTGCTGAGTGCGGCGTTAAACAACAAAGCAACCAACCACCCAACTATAAACACTAAGGAGAGACAGGCCCTAGGGTGGCTTTATGTCACGAGAACATCTGTTCAAATGTAAATATGAATAATTGTTTGATCTTAGACGCCATGTTAATGGGAAATAAAAAA